CGAGGTCTCAACGAAGGGGCCGTGTTTAAGCTCCGAAACAATCCCAAACCTCCCATATTCCCATTGATTATACCCAAGAAATCCATTTTTACACATTATGCCACCCTGTGCTGAGGTTGAAATAGAAAAACAAGGGAATGCATTGAGGCCCGGCCATGCCTCATTGAAGGCCGGTCGGGCCTTGGTAGCGAGAAACACTGTTCTGGGCAGGAGGCCGCTAGCTGTCCATTTTTGCAAATATTTATGATATTTCTGGCTCAAGTTCTATAAAAACGACCATATATCTCTATTTTGAGGGTTGAAGAATTTCAAGAAAGCTATTATACCACCTTGAGAGCTCCTTCTTCTCCTTCTTCTTGTGCAAGCAACACTTTGAGTCAACCAACCACCTTGACCCTATATTCATACACCATACACACCTTCATACCTTGGTCTAGGAACCTTGGTTAAGCCTTGAACACCATAATTCAAGCTTGAAAGTGTATTGGAACTTAGTTCGATCACAAGCGAAAAGCTTACTCCTTTGAGAGGTATAAGCTTATTATCTTCCCTCTTGCTTTCATTTCTTTCATTTGCTAGCTAGTTCTTATTGTTTTGTGTTGTTTTGATCTTATTTTAAGTGTTTAACTTGTTGAGATGTTGATACAACTAATATGTTTATCTATTGAAAATGGGAAATGTTTAATATGAGTCACTGTCTCATATAAGTGGTTGGCCAGGTTCTGAGCCATTGATGTAAATTGTGAAATTGATAAGAAATGGAAACTGAAATGAAACATGAACATAGTGGTCATGGAATGGAAATGGATTATGGATTGGTTTATGAAAATTGAACATTTATCAATTGCTAATGTCTTAGTTATTGCTCATACTGTGTTTAGCATATCTCTACTGGGCGTTGGCTCACCCTTTATGGGACATTATTTTCAGATACAGGTAGTATGCCACCTCCAAGGACATAGCTTGGATGAGGATGAGAGTTGAAGACTCCTTTTGTTTATTTTGTTTGTATTACATGTATATCAAGCCAAGGGCTTATTTTGTATAGAGTTAGTACTCTTCTTTTGTGTAACCAGGTGTTGACTTGGAAAGCTGTAAACTCATAGGGCATTTACTTTTGTTGTTAACATGTAATACAGTATAAGAATTACTCTGATGAATAGAAATGGTTGATTTCTTTTATATCAATGCATGTTTAAAGTGATGGGTTTTACGTATTTTTTGAGGGCGTTACATAGATTGAATTTCTGTTTTAAAGAAACTAAAAAAATTTACATCTATGCACTGAAGTCATTATTTTCATTTTTTTTTGGAATGAAGATTGTTTTTGGGAATTTCAAAAATATATGATTTTTGTGTGTTTATTTTCATCAAAATAATTTTTATATTTTAAAAATAATAGTTTGAAAGCATAACTAAACATCGTAATTACTTTTTATTTATTTTAAATTTTTATGAAATATATTTAATATTAGTCTTATTTTAAAAGTATATTTTTAATGATATTAATTTTATAAAAACTAAAATTTTATATTAAAAAATATATATATATATATATATTATGAAAATAAAATGAAAAAGTTTAAAATAGTTTTTTTTAAAAATTTTGTTAGAAATGTGATAGAGAGAGAGTGTATGTGATTTTAATTTTTTATTAGAAATGTGATAGAGAGAGACAGACAAAGAAAGTGTGTGTGTGATGTGAGTGTGTGTGTCAGTAAGGGTGCAACTCGGGTGGGTTCAGTCGGGTTGAGAGATTGTTCAAGCCCAACCCAAGTTGTTCTAAGATCTGTCCAAGCCCGAATTATAACCCGAGATTGCCTCCTTAAGCCCGATCCAAGTTGAACCTGAATTGCCCGACTTGCTCGAATTGCCCGAATTGTAAATAAATTTCAATTTTTTTTTTCATTATTAAATTATTAAAATTTGACTCAGTTTACATTTTTTTATATAGAAAATCATTACTACTATCAAAACAAATAATTTATGTAATGTAAGAGAGATGCCGCTATAGTAGCATTTACAATTTATAAGTGAAAATTAAAAAAAGTAAGATTTTATGTTATTCGTATATATAACATATATTCAATATAATTTAATAATTTAAATTACTTTAATATCATGTAATGACTAATAATTTTTATATATATATATATATATATATATATATTTAATATTTTTACATATCTATATATGTATAATTCGGGTTTCGGGTTGCTCAGGTTGTTTGATGTCTTTGCCTAAGCCCGTCCAAATTTAATTCAGGCTTCTGAATTTTTGCCTAAGCCCGTACCAAATTTGAAAATATCTTGTCCAAGCCCTAAAAAAATTCGGGCTGGGTTCTGGTTGCTCAGGTTGAGCCCACCCAAGTTGCATCCCTATTTAGACCCAGCCGAGTCTAAATGATGTTTCAGAATCAGTACAATTACAGGAAAAGCTGACCTTTGCCTTGATGTACCACAGATTTGTTTTAAGTCTTGTTTTGTTTGTACCAAGTGTTTTTTTTTAATAGTATTTTTGAGTTGTTTTCATTTTGTTTCCCTGTTATCAAATTATATTTTACATTTCATCCAGTCACGGTTATTGAGAAGATCCGAACTCACTGACAACCACTAAGTCAAATGTCTAATTCAATCTTCTTGATTAGAACTTTGTGAATAATTTTAAAATTTGTTGGTTATAAATCTTCAAAAAGTAATTCAAAAAAAAAAAATATAGATTAGATATATTCGAAAGTGATTCACTTCACATTAAATTAATTACTTTCTAAATTAATTTTTTTTTTCTTTTGTTTCAAAATTTGATTTATATGATAAGATACTATTCAAGCCAATTGCTTCTTTTTTTTTTTTTTTTTTTTTCCTTTTTTTTTTTTTTTTTTTTTTTTTCCTTCTCTTTTTCTTTATTTTCTTATCTTAAACAAATTAATAGATTAATTTGTTGGTACAAGCATATAATTGATAAGATAAACGCCCTTCAAAATTTACTAAATATGTTGAATATATAAAGTTTGATCTTTTAATGAGTTATTTTAAAAGCCATACCATTCAAACTGTAACTTATCATTTTAGCACAATTAAATTTCACATCTAACATTATTTAATTGATTTCTGCATAGCAAACTTTGGTAGAAAAAGACAATTGAGTTTTTAGCAAAACAGGTGATGTGCTAAAAATAATTGAACCAATAACCCAAGACAATTGTCCAGTTTTTAGTCAGACACATCAACTTTCATAATTTTTCATACAACTTAAAAAAGTCATTTCTAAATATATTTAAATTTTTTCATCTTATAAAATAATTGAACCAATAACCCAAGAGAATTGTCCAAATGATCATGTAAAGGACACTCAGGTATCAAGGTGAGTGAAATTTCATACTTTGTCTATAGAAAAATATTAACCTGCGTTGAAATTTAAATATATACGTATTATTTGTCATCTTGGAAAAAATAATAATAATAATCAACTCAATTTATATATATATATATATATTTGTGTGCGGAAGAAACACATTGACCTTGTTTAGGAAGATAGTTAGATTAAAACAGTCTACTAAAAGATAAAATAAGCTAAAATAATCAATAAGATAAAATATCACATCTAATTCATAGCATCAAAAATCATATCGCATGCGTAAGGAACACTGCCACCATGCTGTTCCGCTGAACTGATTGAGAACTACCATCACACCTCCCATGGCTGAAAGAACCATGGCCGGAAAATAGAATATTAATTAGAAAGGAAGATAGCATGGAAAATAGAATGTTCACTACTACAGCTTTTGTGTTACATCACATAAAAGGAATAATGATTAATCAATTTCAGGAGGTTACCGTTCCAATGGCAAGTGCAACATCTTCATTTGAGTGATGATCATCAATATGAATGTCACCAATAGCCTTCACATGGACATCAAATAACCTGTGAGAAGCAAGTTGCTGACATGAATCCAAACAAGCAAAAAAAATATCACATCAGCTTTAAAATAGACAATGGTAAATTTGACTACCAAAAAAAAAAAAAAATGGCAAAGAAGACTTCAAGAATGAAGGAGTAGAATAAGACATTCTAGGTCCCCATTCTGTTGTCAGGATAAGCCATGTGATGTAGTAGAATAAATTCCTTAACGGGTTGGGAGACTTGATGAAGGATTTGGAAAGAAAAATGAAAAATGTAAGTGGAATGCGAATAAAATATATTCACATTTCACCTAGTTTCACACACGTTTTTTCTTTTCTTTTCTTTTCTTTTCTAAATTCCTCCTCAAATCTCCCAATCAAACACAATATTTGTTAACTAACTTGTTAGTTGTGATCTATAAATAGGTGATGTAAAAGCCATTGTAACTTACTGCCCCCCCCCCCACACAAAAAGAATATAGATTTTGATTAGAGCAAAGTGCACTGGTTTCTCTCTAATTTATCCCCAAATTGGGGATTTCCTCACGCTCTTGATTTGAATCTGATTGCAACTATTAGTTGCATGAAAAATTACATTTCCAAAGCAAAATGAGATTAAAACACTAAGTGGGAATCTCTCATTCCTACACACTCATGTGATTCTAAGAGAAAAAAAAAGAGCCTATAATATTTAAAATTTATTATTTTCCCATGAACAATTCCTAACTAAAGCAGACACTTTGAAAACTATTAACATAAGGATCTTATTACTAAAAATGGGATTCCACGCAAGTTGTAACAGGATTCCCATTAACCAAATCCCAGGATAAGGCTCCACTGATTGAAAAAATTCTTCTCCCTCAGTTGGTATATTGAGAACTGAGAGATATAAGATTTGAAATACTATTTTTTTTCTCTCTCTTTTTCTACTTTTTGAGCAACCAAACAGAGCATAAGTTTGTACTCATAATCCTAATTCAATTTCAATGTGTGGTTTATTTTGAGTGGAAATATAATATATGTATTCACTTCAATTGGTTAGAAAATATATCTATCACTATTTCCTCAATCATAGAACACAGAGGAATTAACTCAATGAAATAAAAGCCATGAATCCTTTTTTCCCACATGGAACAATAACCTCAATTGTATTCAAAACACTACCTTCCCTATATTTCTCTCCGTAAATAAAATCACCTTATATTAAAGGAAAATACTTTCCACCATGTCTTGCAATACCATGACCTTCAATAAACTATCTACAAAAACATAAATTCAACTCTGATCCATCAATTGCATAAAGATGGTTGTGTATGGATTGCTGACATGCAGCAAAACCTAATGCCACATTCAACACAAAATGAAAAATTCAATAACAACAATCCAAACCACAAACTAACTGTATCAGCAACCATTCTGTATGGTGGCTGAATACACCCAACTATACAATTATTTAAAGTTACTAATCAAATCTCCCACCAACAATGATTACCTATTATTATTTTCTAACACTGAAAAAAGCAAAAACACATTTTACGCTACTAGAAATGGGTATAAAACATGGAACCTTTTGCGAGAGTTTATTTTCTGTCACAAAAAATAACCTTTTGCGACAGTTAATACCCCATCGCCAATAGTCGTTTTTGCGACAGCAATTCCTGTCTCAGAAGGAGGAAAGGATATGTTGGATGGTTTTTGCGATGGCAAACCATTAATGGTCGTGAAAGACCTATTTTTTTTAGACAGCTTTTTATCCCCGTTGCAAAAAGATTTTTTTTTCCATGCCTTTTGTTGTGTCGTGGCTAATGGACCAAAAAAAAAAACTTCTTATTCTTTCTCTATCACGCTTGTGTCTTTTTGTCACGCCCTCCTTCTCCTCCGCCTCTCTCTCTCTCTCTCCACCGTTGTCGGCACAGGAGCACACGATTACCACCGCCATTGATATCACCATCGAAAACCAGCAGCCATTCTCTGAAATTGAGGAGATGCAATCGAAGGGGTTTGAAATTGAGATCGCTGGCCAAAGTTTGGCTAGAATCGACAGAGGCGGCAATTGAGATGCGTAGTAGGGGCGGAATGTAGTGGGGGAATCAGAAATCCTAATTTTATTTCTCTTCTCTCTCTCTCTCATATATATATATATATGTATAAGCAATTTCAAATCTCTCTCTTTCTTCAATTCAATTTACAGAACATGATGTTTTGCTTTGTTTTTCTTTGATTGCTTTCTCAGAACTCAAAAACAAAAACAAAAAGGGTTTTCTTGACAACTCCATTCGATTCATCTGAAATTCTCGTTTTCGCCGAAATGGGGTTGTGGGATTCCCTCATCAATTGGCTCTGTAGGTAATTTACTCCCTTCTCTTCTAATCTTCCATATTTTTTTTCATTCTTCAGATTGTCTCTCTCTTACTTTCTTGGAAATGTTGTTCATGGTTTATTAGGTTCAACCTGGTCTCACGAGGTTTCTTACGTGGCCCTTTAGAGTTGCCCCACAATTATTCGTAACAAACACTACAAAAATTCATAAATTGACCTAAAAAAATTCTCAAGTTTCTTATGATAGTGGACTGTGCATAGTAGTATTTCCTTTAGAAAATTGAACAAAATAGGCTACCAAGAAAAAATAAAAAAATAAAAAAAAAACTCTATGCAAGAAATACGATTTGTAAATAAAAATATTATCTTAGTATTTTTGTAATATGAATATATGTGTTTGGTTTGAAATAAAAGGATTACAAAAGATTGTCATTATGCATGAAACTGAAAGTGAGAGAATTCAAGTTCAAAGTATTATTTGATTTCCTCTTCTTTTTTTTTTTAAAAAAAATAAAAAATAAAAATAAAAGTAAAAAATTACTCTTTGCTCCATAACCTTTGAAATTGAGATCACTCTGAAATTAAGATTCTATATTCAACTCCACAACATCAGCCCCAAGCAACAGTGTGGCATTGCAAATATGAGATGGGCTTGTTACCAACAAAACAGAGCACCCAAGTGCTAATTGTCGGGGGGAAAAAAATCCTAGTGTTTAGATCATAATATTATAGGAATACCACTACATTTGAAATCAATAATTATCCGAGAATGCATAACTAATGATTAACTAATTAACTAATGAACGCACCGCAAGAACCACCATTGTCTATGACCGATAAATGAAATTTCATATATTCAAGACCGACCATTGTCTTTCCTATATATTCTACTTTTTCAAACATTGTGTCCCCTTTTCTTAATTGTTACATCGTGAAAACGATGTGTTTTTTTCCCCCTTATAACTTGTATTTTTAACTTTTCTGCTCTCTCTGTCTCTGATTCGCTGTTCTACTCTTTATAGATGCCTCAATAAAACCAAATTTGTATCTCAGGTACATATCTCCTCAAACTAAGAAGCACGAGCATGACATGGACACGATACGTGGGGGACACGTGCACAATATATAATTATATATATATATTTACTTATTATATATATTTTCCTTCTTAGAAGTGTTTGTGCTTTTTAGTCCCCAAATTAGTGAATTAAATTTTTCTTAACTATTCCATTCAACTTTTTTTTTTTTTTTTTCTCTATTGAAGCATGACCAAGAATAATGGCAAAATTGATTGATATAGTCGACCCCACTTGATTGTGACACAAGGCTTAGTTTAGTTTGATTTGGTATATTCAACTCTTTTCTTGATATCGAGTTATGACCAATGTTTTCATTCCAATGAATCTATTGCTACATTTGATATGAAAGAAAACATTGTTCTTGAAATCTCCTTTACGCTGTATTTGGTTGGGAGATTTGGAGAGGGATTTGGAAAGAGAAAGGGAAAAGATGTGTGAAACTAGGTGAAATGGAAGTATATTTTATTCATATTTCACTTACCTTTTCCATTTCCCTTTCCAAATCCCTTCTCAAATCCCCCAACCAAACACAGCATTAGTGAAGTTGTTATTTGGCCTTATGCCTCCTATTCCCAAATTTCAGAGGCTTCATGTGTCTATATCCTTTAATAGAATTGCTTAAAGTAGTTATAATTGGTTAGTATTATCAAAATTTACTAGACCCTACTGATCCATGGTTAGAATCAATGTCGTCCACTTTTCTTGCAAATACACTAAATTGACTACTTGAAAAGATTATCCCAGGTTTTTAACTTATGTTTGCCCTTTTTGTCAGGGTAGTATGAAATATAATGAGTACCAGAACCAGTACATATATGTTTTATTATTGAAAAGAAATTCAGTCTTGTATTGTTACTTTTGAATATACATTGTCACATATTAACTATCAATTAAGAGACACATGTCAGCTATATAAGCTTACACTATATTTTGGGTCAGGCCATTTAGTCTCTATACTACTTCCTGTTTAGTGTACAGTTTGATCCGTGTTGTGACTTGTGTTACATAATTTATGGTTCTAGTTCAAATGGAGTATGAGTTTGCTAGCAGTTTATAAACTGCTCTAGAGATTATTTAGGTGCACGTTTAATCTCTTCAACTAGGGAATTGCCAAGTGCCATCAAACACAACATTTGTGATATATGAACAATTGGTTAATTTCAAAGAAACTTTTCCTATGGAGAGTCACTTTGATATTCTTTTAGGGGAAACAATATTGCAAGATTGGGAGATATAACCATCAGAGGACTATGATTATAGATTTGACTGTGATAGGAGTGAAGGAAATGGTTTCTTTTCCTTCTGTTCCTTTCTTTTTATTTCATTCTACATTATGTTGTTCTCTCTGTGTTTCAGTCATAGTTCATGTCAATTTGAATTTTATATCTTAGGAGGAGAAATACAAATTTTTATTTTTTTGAAGACAATCACTATTGCTTTGCTTACTATCCTCTAGTTATTTGAGTATACAACATGATATTTTCTCTACTTTGGGCTTTTTGAGGATTATTACTGAAAAATCTAGAAATCCTCTAGATGTTGATTTGTGATTATGTATCAATTTTAAGCAGAATATAACAATCCCAATCAAACAATCAAGACAAAGAGACACAACGATTTTAACGTGGAAAAAGCCACAATTGGACACCTCCAACTGTGATTAAAAAAACTACGGGCAACAGCCACAAAACAATCTACTAAAAAGATTTAAAGGAATTACACAGGTATACTCTCAATTACCTAGCGAATCCACGCCTAATTGAACCAACCTCTATGTGCCTCTTCCAACCCGTCTTCACCTCGGAATTGTCTTTACGATGAGCCACTCCGGAATCCACCAAAGCTTCAGGCTCGAATTCTTCAGAATCCACCGAAGAACAACTCTCTCTTTTGTAGAACAAGACACAACCTTTGATGTACTCTCTTTAAACCATGAGTTGAATACTCAATAAAACATCAAAGTAAACTAACCAAATTTCCCCAGATATACACCTTAGAATCCAAAAAATAAGATCTGGAGGACTTGAGGAGCAGTCTAGTTTTGGGAGAAAACCAACTACTTATAGAAAACCAAAAAGTAATCCTAGATTTGGAAGAAAACCCAATCCTTATTGAAATCCGAAAAACTGTGTTCGTGCAGTCCGCTCGAGCGCCCAACATCCCGCTCGAGCGTCTTCAGTAAAATCTGCGCGTGATATAACAGAGGTCCGCTCGAGCGCTGGAGAACCCGCTCGAGCGCGAAATCACACATCTCAGTACTTTTGCAGGCGACCAAAACTGCTGGAACCAGGGATTCTCCGCTCGAGCGCGGGTATGTCCGCTTGAGCGGACAGGCAATTTTGAATGCATTTTTGCATTTTGAATCTGTCCCGCGATCTCCGCTCGAGCGCCCAACAGCCCGCTCGAGCGGCT